TGGCAACAACAGCAATCGGCAAACAAAATCACTAGAGGCTCACCAGGTCGCAGAAAGAAAATTAAGAGGCCTCGCAATCGCCGCAAATCGATCACAAATGCCGCGGGGCCGCCATCTTCACTGCCGAGCCTGCCAAGCCGTGCCGAGGATTTCAAAGTCCGGGGCCGTCCAAAGCTATCGGCTCCCCTGGTGTTTGATCTTCTCGTGTCCCCTGGGTTTCGATCATCCCGGCGACCTCTTTTAAAGCAGTTTTATAGCAGGTTCCAAAGGTTCCCAGCCCTTTTTCGCCAGATTGTGTTAGGGCGAAAAAGCAAGGTCGCCATTCCGTTCCGGCACATGCGCAGAATTGCTGTTTGAAAGACAGGAGAATCCGCTTCCAATTTGGGGCCTCAGGTAACCACTCCACAGCATGGAGATCAATCATGCCCCTGTGACAGTGAAGAAGCTGGCTTACGGAATTCAGTATTGCAGTTCTGGAATTCCAACGTCCATAATTAAGTTCGTTCAAATGGATTCTAAGAGCTATCCATTGGGTTTGTAGTGAGCGATGTGATTGTTGTAATTGAGGGAGGGATGCTTTCCTGATTTCTTCTTTATTGATACCTTTTCCTCTCATTGCCTTGTCTGGAGAGGGACTGTTTTTCTGAAAGGACTGCCACCAAGAACTTTAGTGGGGGTACCTGGGGCCCGATATTGTACTTGAAGAAACAAGGAGTTCCTGCAAGCATAATGAATTAAGAAGGGGGATCTGTAATTGTATTTCCTTTTGAAATATGTTGTTTTGAGTGGATCCTCATTCTATTCTGCTGTTCGGCCAAGGGGAACTAGTGTGAAGCTCCTCTGTCTTGCCTCTCAGTGCAGAATATTTGCTCTTTACCTTCTTCATCCTCTTTTTTTTTAAAGCAAAAGTGTCTGCTGTGTCTTTCATTTTAAAACCTGCACCCAAAGGTAGCATCAAATCTAGTGGTTAAGGCATCAATGTAGAAAGTGGGAGACCATGAATTCTAGTTCCACCTTCGCATGGAAGCCAGCTGGGTGACCTTGGCCAGTTACTTGCTCTCAGCCCAACCTACCTCACAGGTTTGTTGTTTTGGGGAAGGTGTATGGGATATATTCGCTGCCTTGAGTTATTTATAAAAATAATAAAGGTAGTAAATAAATAATTAAAGTAAATAAGTAAGTGCCAGATCTTTTGCAAGATCCAAAGATCTTCAATTGCACAGGATTAATTTCCCATTTCACTTTGATTTAATTTGAGAATGACATAATTTTTTCAATCCTTTTAGCTTTGTTGTTTATACTGAGAGGGTTGCAAAGTGGTAGAAAAGGTGATGCTACACCTTATATTTTTAGATTTGGTGCACAGGGAACATTTCGTCTTCCTAAGCTGTGTCTGGAAATATGCTAAGTTTTTGAGGAGTGGGAACTCTGGCTGTTGTGTCCAAAACTCTTGAGAGACCCTTATGACAGACAGTTGTAAGATGACCTTCTAAATGTACATGTCAATTAAATTCATATTCTGGTAAAAGATTTTCGGAATGAATATTCCTTGGTCTTCTTGCTGCCAATCTCAGAGAGGCCAAGTATTAGTATTATTATCAGGAACATTCAATTTAAAAACCAATCATTCCTAGATTCTAGTTCCTTTCTTTAACAAATCACCGTGCTTATTGAGATACATGTTTTAAAACAATGCCAATGCCCCACTCCCCTTCCCCACTTCCTAACCCACACACCCAGGGAATAACTGTAATTCTAAGGGGTGAAATTTCCTGATTTTTTTGCACGCATTTCAGCATCAACATGCATTTTTTCCACCTCAAAATATTCTATACATTTGCACCAGGTTTTGTGGCTTGAGAATAAGTAGAAAAGTCCAGTTTCAGAAGTTTACTTCTGGCAGCCCAGGAGATGTATTTGATTCGATTCTAATGGAAGAATTATACTACAACTTTGTTGCAAATGGTCCATTTTTGGCTGTTTGTTTCCCTCTTATTCATGAAAGAAAATCTGGAGCAGCTGTAAGCACAGAAATAAAAAATCTTATTCGCATTCAAATTCTCAGCAAAACACTCAATCTGCAAAAATTCTTCTCTTCCACTATCACTTTTACAGTTATTCCCTGGGTGTGTGGGTTAGGAAGTGGGGAAGGGGAGTGGGGGAGAGGGAGGGGATAGAAAGAGAAAGAGAAAAAGAGGAAGAAAGAGACATATAGAGAAAGAGAGAGAAGGAAGAAAAAGAAAGAGAGAGGAAAAGACAGAAAGAGACAGAGAGAGGAAAAGAC